AAAGAGCCAGCACTGTCCGAAGACATCTCCGTGGTCATGTGGCCGGCATGGCTAAACATCAAAAGCACATGGAACGCTGTTACGTTCCCACCAAAGGTGGTTCCTATTTGCATTTTTACATGCTTTCAAAGGTTGGCAGCAGCTGGTCACTCCGTTACATGGAGCTAGGGATTCAGATGGACAAGCTCAGCATCTTAGCCACTGAGTCACTGCATCCCTATTACATGTACAATAGTAAGCCAATAGTTAGAACAACCAATAGTCCAGTGATAGTGAACCTTTTCAGCACCAAGTACCAAAAAGGGAGCGTGTGCGCTCATCTGGGACATAACCTGGAAGAGGAGCTGCCCAGGGGACTTTGCTTTCCAGCCCGCATATGTGTGCTGGCTAGCTAGTCTTTCAGTTACTGGTATGCATCCACATGCAACTATCAGCTGGCTGGCGCGCATGCTTGTGTTGGAAAATGGAAGACCAGGTCTTCCAGTTTCCAGCAATGATGCACGCACAAAATCCAGCTGATCATCTGGCATGCATGCGGGCCAGAAATTCGGAAGAGGAATGGGCAATGTTGCGCGTGCCAGGTGACATGGCTCCGCTTGCCACTTCAGGCATGCGTGCCATAGGTTCCCCATCTCCTCTATAGTCTTATTGTTCTGTGGAAACAACTATTGGATGAATGTCAATAATAAACTGCATAGTGTGTGTTTTTTTTGGGGGGGGGGGACTCAACCAAAGATGGCCTCATAGCATTAGCATTTACTATTGTACAGAAGTTCAAGATCTTCAGTAAATCATGACATCATGCACAATAAAATCTATTTAATTTGATCCCACAATCTCACAAATCATGTTTTACAATATCACAATAAAAACAACAGAATTAAAACAATCTACATTCCAAATTACAAAATCAAAGAACAGAAAACAAGAGGTGCAGATGAAGTTACAGAAGCTGTCTCTGAAAAAGCTCCATTTTTAATACAGTAGCTTTTTAAGATACTAGAGAGAAGGCCAGTCTGATTTCAATGGGAAACGCATGCCATTATACTGACACTGCTGTGAAGCAGCACTTTCTAGCTTCAGGTCTCCTAACATCCCAGAAATGTGAGCCAAGGAGCACCTCTTCCATGTTATAACAGGGCAGGCTGACTCCGATTGGTTTTCAAAGTACCCAGGTGTCAAGCCAGGGAGACTTCTATAATTAACATCAGCACTTTACTCTGCAGTATAGGTGTCCCAAATGAATAGGGCTCTGCAGCAAAAACAAGAATATACCTATAAACTAAAATTATAATCCATCTGATTTTTAAACAGAACTGTCTTCCCCAAGCATACTACTTTGAAAGTTCTATATTTCGTTAAAATAGAATCATTACCTTTTTTAGTATAGCAGCATTAACATTTGGAAGAGGAACAGGATCATCATCTCCTTCATCATCCATTCCCAAATCTAGAAAGGAAAACAATGAAAAATATATTAGCAGCCATTTTATTAATACAATTAAGCTAATCTAGCAATTTCCAAAAAACATTCTATTATTCTCTGTAAAGAGATATGAATGAACAGTTTCTACTATTAATAAAATAGAATATTTGTCACTCACGATTGAAATGAGAGGTCCCTAGTGCTCTCTGAGCTTGCTTGTTTTCTTGCAAATGTCATTACTCTAAGTAACATCATCAGGATTACCACTGATGATGTTATCTAGTTAGGGTAATGAAATGCTTGCAAGAAAACAAGCAAGCTCAGAGAGCACCAAGGACTCCTCAGTTTCTACTATTGCTCCTACATCATCATGGGCCATTATCTGGGCCATAAAATATAAAATATTCATAGAAGTAAAGAACTTAAAAGATGTTCTAAGGAAATATGAACAGGATAAGATTGTAAACAGATCTGTTTCTCTTGCTTTGTATTTGAACATAGGCTCAAGATCTAGAAGGATCTTGACAGACTGCAACATAATGCTGACTCATATTTAAATAGTTGTCCCTGGATCCCTCTCACAATTACTGCTATTGAGCCATGTACCATCCTTTCTGTACCTGTGCATTTTAAGACAAGGTTTTTCTTGTCCTAAGTGTAAAACCTTACTTTTTTCATCACTGATTTTTATTTTGTTAGAGGGCCCAGTCTAACTACTTTAAATACCCACTACTTTTGCCATTTGAGACCTGCTATGAAACTACAAATCCACAGTATCCCACCTACACTCCATCGTGCACATCAACCCACCTGTGTGGCGCTGCAGTCCTTTTTGCTGCCCATACTCATATGGCGCCACAAACCACCACCACCACACCAATAGCATTCCCTGCTCAGGACTTGCAACTTTCTGCTGGCTTCCTCAATGACTTTGTTGGAGGCTAGTAGGCAGTTCACAAATCATGGTTAACATGATCCTAACTTAAGAACCCACAATCCTCACTTAACAATGGCAATAGTGGCTGCCAGGATTGTCATTCCTGTGGTCATGTGGCATATTTTACTACTGCATCATTTAGCAACAGAAATTCCAGTCTCAATTACCACTGTTATGTGAGAACTGTTAAATAATTCAAAACATAACCCATATTAAACAAATGTTGCAGATAAGAAATAAAGCATGATTTTCTCATAAACTTTACCATCGTATAACATAAATGCATCATTTTATTTAAAATTAGTTGAAGTTTCTGTGTACTATTGTGCTAAAATATAAAAATCTGAATAGAGCTAAATGAGAACTATAAAAGAAATATTATATTTCAGTCTTGCTAAGCCATTATGGTTTTCAAAGCACATAACAATATACATGTCATTATATTCTGAAAAAATGAGATTAAAACAAATATTTCTAGGTTTACACTGAATAGAGCTGCAAGTACATTTTAATCCATTTTAATTGATAGATTTATCTGGTTTAAAGCAGCTGTATAATACCCTGAAATAGCAGTGAAGAAACATGGCCAGAACAAGTGGCATAAATTCAACACAAAAGGAGGACAGATATATCACGATGCTACAAATGTTTTATATAATGGTAAGAGAGAGAGAGAGAGAGTGTGTGTGTGTGTGTGTGTGTGTGTGTGTGTGTGTG